GGAGCAGCTTCCACAGTAGCCCAACCATTATACTCATCAGGGATATTTTTGTCCGAAGGAACCCAATTCAATTCAGCACTTGAATTTTCTCAGTAATTGAAGCTGATAATGAAAAATTCCTAAGGTTTCTAGGCTTGAAGAAAATTGGGTTTGCAGAAAAACTGAAATTGAAATGGTGGTGAAATAACAAGGGGCATTTGAGGGCTACAAAAGTGAAGACAGTGATTAGATTTAGCCCATGTTTTGTCCGGACTAAAATCAGATTTTAATCCAAGTAAAAGACAAACAATCAATATTAATCACATTTTTCATGAATCCGACAACTTTTCAACCACACATTTCAAAAACTTCTATCACAATCTACTAAAAATCTAATTTTAATACCCACCAAACACCCTCTTAATGTAATATTTTTTGGGAGAACTTACGATTAATAAATGAAAGAAAAATGAATTATAATTTAATGAAAAATAATGAAACCAAATGGGAGCTAAATTTGCTGCTACTTAGGGGTGATAGTTTAGCTCGCCAACTCGGGCGACTTGTAACTCGGCCCAAAAAAAGTTCGATTCTACCCGGCTCATGGCCCGATTGCCATTTTGAGGCGTCAACTCAAGTTCGAGTGAACGCGTATAGCTCGACGAGTCACATAGGTCGGCTCGTATCACAGTCCATTTTCGGCCCATGACGAGCTAGTCACAAAATTTTTTTTGCAAAACTTTAAAAAATAAATAATAAATAAAATTATTTGGTCAAATATACTAGCTGCCTTGTTGCAAACAGCTACGCATTGATTGTACAATTTTATTCATGTACTAATTTAATCCCGAACCCGAAAAATGAGTAGCGTTGTAACTTTTATTTAATTTGTAATTAATATAAATTACATAAATTTTTAATTCTTTTAAAAATTTAAATTTGTGACAAATTTAAAGAAAAAAATAGCGAGCAGACTCGGCTCTACCCCTCTCGGCTCGCTAAGGCCAGAGCCGAAAGCTCGAATAGGCCTAAATTTTTTGGACGAACAAAAGTTCGACTTGACTCAAGCCAGCAAAAGCTTGAACTATTTTTACTCGAATAGAGCCCGAGCTTCATTATTTTGCTGGAAATCATGATTGAGTTCTTATTTTAAAAATGGATTAAACTAGTTGTACACAGTGTACATTAAGTTCAACATTCCATACATTGTCAAAATCCGTGTCATTGATATTTAAAGCGTTATTAAAACCAATATCTAAAAATATGATATTTCACGATAATGTCAAATTTAATGTCAACAAAGATATATATGTAGCATGATTTTTTTGAAATTTAGCTCCCGTTTGTTTCTCATTTTTCATCCATAAAAATGAAAAATATGACCGTTATCCATCACATTAAGCCATCAATTTTGAATTTCAATATTTTACGCGTGGCTCAATAACGACTATATTTTTTTATTCTCATTCTACAATAATGAGAATCAAACGGACCTTTATTAATGCTTTTTGTGACATTTGTGGAGAAACATTTTGTTTGC